CTTCCATGTAGAGATGAAACTGTTTGCATTCAAGCAACAATCCAAGCGTTTCTTTTTCTATCTGAGCAACCATTTTGTTCAGTGGGGCACAATGCATGAGATGTATATACAAAGCAGCCATCATCTATCATGGTCCTTGAATAAAATAGCACTCAAGCCATTCTAGGAAGTATATGTGGACACTGCCCCATTTCTAAGTATTACAATGCAAAGTAATGCTCTTAGATTTATGGTGTGGGCACCCAGGCTGGGAATGAATTTTGGACACAGTTTACCATTTTCATGACTCTCTGAACCTGTTCCTGACATGTCAGTTTTATCCTTTAATCTGGTCTGGTTTAATGCCATCTTTTGTTAGTATTTTCCCAGCAATTGTATTTTTTGGACTTTATTTGCTTTTGCTCAATTTAGTATTTGGCTTTTTCTAGCAATTTTAACTGGTGATCATTTTTTTCCTGTGATGCCCCATAGAAATAAGTTGTCTATTGAATGCCATCCATCAGTTATTGCATGGTATGATGAAATACTTCAGGAATAGAACACAACACAAAGGGCTTGTGTTTAAAGTCATGGGTATTCACCATGAGATACTGTATATTAAATATACACAGGTATGTGGTTTCTTTATCCAGCGGAATGTGCCAAAACCTGGCTTATGCAACCAGCTTGGAAATAAATTTGTGCCTGCCAGTTCTCCTAAGAATTCCATTTGTTTAAGATCTAATAATGCTCTCTTTAAATACCCTAGTTTAATTCTTTGGGGTCCAGGTCAAAAGCAAAGTCTTTATATACAATCAATGATCAGCAAAATTAAAAACAAAATGAAACCAAAACATATCTCAATAAAACAGCAGTTGATCATGTTTGCATAATCTAATGCCTTCTTTTTACTTCAGCCATAGAAAATTTGGCTATCATAAGGGTAACAGGATATTTCACATCAGAAAGAAGCAACTTAATATAGAACTCATGTTCATCTCTGTTTAACTATAGAAATTTTTTAAATGATCATCCCACATTGACTGAGCTGACAACATTGACTGTAATTTTTCAGATGTTTTTATGACCAGGTTATTTCTTCTCAGATTTGGTACTACTAATGCTCTTATATCATGCAGAGTGCCTTTCCATTTTGAACTGAGTTCACAGCCATTCAGTGTGGCTGCTGGGTTCTCAGTATATGATTTTAGATGCATAGGTACTGGGTACAGTTTAGCATAGTCTTAAATCTATTGCAGTAATGTTCAGCTATTAGACAATACTAGCATTAAGCTTATTATTAATTATTAATCTCATTACTGCATACTAGCATTAATTTTATATACAATGAACACAAATGCATCCATGAATGTAAATGCATTATACATATCAGGAGTATTTGCTCCGGCTACTGTCAGGAAGAGTGCTATTTTCTGCCATCCTCTTCTTCATGATAGCCCACTGCTCTCAAATACAATAGGAAGCACCATTGCCCTTCTACACTGTCAGTAAGCTTTGGTTCCGATGGTGCAGTCAAAGCATCTATTTTGAAAAAGCTGTCACTACTCAGTCAACTCAAAGAGAATATGTTCCCTAATGCTACAGAGTGATGTTCCAATTGGCTTTCTAGCCTTGCATTGACTCTCCATTGCTTGACTGTGCAGTAATAGTCATTTTTTTTTCTTTTTACAAGCTAGCAGAATGATTTTGTTGTTGTTGCCATACCTGGGTCTCTAGCACACTATGTAGGAATTTAACATCATTTATAAAGAAGGCAACACAGTAAGAGGTGAACTGTGTTTATTAAGATCAGCTTGGACTCACCTCTAACCAGGAATAACAAGGAACATATCAAAACATCGGCAGGTTCAACTTTGGGTAAATACTAATTTCCTTACAATACACTTCAGATGTGTTAGATTTCAGTAGCGATCTGCCTGCTGGTTAGGAATTATGGAAAATTGATTTAAATTAAGAATTGAATACTGTACTCTGGTTCCTTTTCAGAAGAATCAATCTTCAAAAATGCTTTGTTGCTACAAAACAAAATTAGAAAGAATAAATATTATATATACAAGAATGAAGATTACAGGATAAACTGATGAACCAGATTGTTTTGCCACTATTTTTAAATATTTTTTTATCCAATAAAATGTATCACAGTCTGTCTTGTTCATTGCCAGAGCAACCTTTTGCGGTATGTCATTTAAACTCTAATTTGACAAATGGATGAGGCTGAAAGATAGCACCTTGCCTAAGGCCAATCAATTAGTACATGATTATGCTCAGATTTGAATCCAGGTCCTTTAGATGCACCTGCCAGATGAAATCAAGCATAAAGTACTCTATGCGTGCCTATATTTACTTACAAGCATCTTTTGTTTTCTTGCTTCTGCTGTTGTCTTTCTAATAGTTGATTAAATGTGATTTTCCTTCCTTCCCACTTTTTTTTTACATTATAATTCCTTCAAGGAACTGGGATCTGCTTTTCTTTTTAATGTTTATGTTCTGACAAGGGCCACCTACAATAACTGTTCATAATAAACATAATATTCATGTCCATATTAATAATATATATCTTGCCTCTTCCTCAAGAGTTCAGGTAAATTTAAGTAGACATCACCCTTAGACTCCACTTCAACACTGTGTAAGTTGGCCTAAGAGAACATAATTGACTCAAAATCACCCAGTGAGTTTCCATAGCCGAGGAGAGACTGGGACTTGGATCTTCTTAGTCCTAGTCCAACACCATCATAATGGTGTTATCATTATACTGATTTTTTTTAATATGAAGTCCAATATTTTGGATGATGCTAATGAAATAACCCAATAACTATTCGAGTATTTCCATATTTGCCAACTTCTGAAATTCTGAAACATTCTAGGAACTAGGGTAGAGCAAAGTCAATTCTGGCAGGCAAAGGAATAGAACTATGAACAAAAACAATCTCTTTACATGAAAGTAAGCCTTTTTCCCAACCAATGACTATAAATGATGGGAATTACAGCACAATGTGCCTGGAGGACAACAAGGTGAAAAGCTGACATAAACATCCTGCATAGATTAGAAAGAGAAGCAGCAGCACTAGTAAAAGGAGGAGACAGCTTGCTCCTTGCTTTGCTTGAAAACAAACAAATGAGCAAACTGGATTTTTTTTTCTAGTGGATCTAGTTAATATAATTTAGTGATCAACAATGTTCTGAAAAGACCTTAGATTGCAGTTCTGGTATAGATGCTTGGTTGAATATATATGTCCCAAGTTTTTCAGTGAGTTATTACTAGTTTCTAAGCTTCACAAATGGCTAATGTAAACAAAGGGACACAAGCAGGATAAACATTTTTGTAGACTTCATACACTTATTTGTAAAGCTGCTATACATTGAATAGCCAGTCTCTTGGGGAAGTTCCAAGCTAAGATATGGAGACAGAGAAAAGGAAGTGCATAGTGGTAGACCCTTGATGTGGTTCTGTTTTCATTTTCTTCCTTCTTTATTGGCCAGATCAACTTACCACCTTTCAGGTATACTATCCAGAGGCAAGTTTTGCTTGTGGCTTTTGCAGCTGCTTATCTGAGTAGATGACCAAACAATTGATCATTTGAATCACAAACAAATAGAATCATGATTTATTCATGCAACTTTCTAGTTTTTGCAACATGCTGAATCATAAGCTAACATCTAGGTTAGATTTATACAATTAATTGGTGCTAGAGACATTCTATTAGAATCTTTAACCATCCAATACCTTAAAAGACACCATCAGCACTTCGACCTTAGCCAGGGAATGGATTAGAAACCAGATTTTTTGATACCATACCTTGCTTGTTTTGTCCATACTTATCCAAGGAACAGCTATGACCTCACTTTTTTTGACTGACAGCACTGCACCAATTAATAGGATTAAAAATCATTGAGCTGTGAGGGGCACTTTGGCCAGCAAACCTGACCCACTGTTCTGCTTAAAAATCCAAATTAAAGCATTCCAAATCCAGTGCAGTCCATCACATCCTTGGTAACAGGTTTTGCTGTTGAACTGGTGAATTGGGTTTTACTGTTAAGAATTTTTTCCAACATTCAGCTGGAATCTGCTTTCCTGTAACTTAAGATACTTGTTCCCCATGACTCTCCAAAGAGAACAGGTGAAAGAATAAAGTGATAAACTACCAGTTATCTCATTTTGGGTAGGAGACAAAAGTGATTGCAATTGGGTACAAGAGTCATAACAAAGGATCCCTTTTATCATGACTCGTCTCCAATTGCAATATTCTTGCCTGTAAGAGAGGATCAAAGATCACAGGGAGCCCTTCTGAGACAATTCTGAGTGTGCTACTCTTGAGGGGCATCTGTTCAATAAGTTAGGCTTGTAATCCTGAGATACTGGAGTCTCAGCAACTATTTGATGGCACGTGTGTGTGTTAAGACCAGTCCTAACACCCTAATCCCACAGCACCATACTGTACTGTATTGGAGTCCTTTTTTATTTAACAGGCAATTAAAAATGTTAACTTCCTCATTACATTCATATATCATGCTAAGCCATGGTATATTTAAACTATGGCTTACTGAATAAACACAGCTGGATTCGCACAATATATTAACATAGCATTCTTATAGATCACAATCCACAGGAAGTGCTAAGCCAAATGCATTTTCTGGTCAGGGCTTAGGCGCTGCATGCCCATTTTGTTCTACAGTATACTACGATTACATACATATTGATGTAATCTAGTAAACCCCCTACAGTTTTGTCTTAAGAAACGAATTTGCACAGGCTCGTTAGAAACTTCAACTTTCATCAACCTTTTCTCTCTCGGGATAGGAAGATTAAACATGAAATCTCCCCCCTCCCCTTCACCTAATTCTACTACCGTACTCAACCGATTCCACGGCCGCTTCTATAAGCCCCCACTTTTGTGCTTCATAAGAGGCGATTAGTGCAGCATTTCCTCTCACGCAGGGATTGTTGGGAATTGTAGTGTTTGGGGCACTCTTGGATGCTTCTCAGGAGCTCTCGTGGACTACATTTCCCGTTCACATGAGCCGGAGGAAAACGGAGCTTTCTCTCTAACTGCGCTGGCTGCGGCCTTGCACTAAGTGAGAAAGAGACTTGGGGGAGGGGTGGCGTAGGCCCAAGCCCGGCTGAGGCCCGGAGCTGGCGGACGAACAGCAGCTACCGCAGACAGGAATTGGCGGGGCTATGGACCCCGCCGAGGCGGTTGTACAGGAGAAAGCCCTGAAATTCATGGTAAGAAGGAAAACAGTGGGGAGGGGATTGGATGGGGGTTGGCAATGGCTGTTGCTGGCGATTGTAGTAGGAAGCAGAGGAGAAGGATGGGGAGCTGTTACGGGAGGGAGAGATTTATACGGGATAACTTGCAACTCTTAAGGGGAACAGTTACCTATTAAATGTGTTTAGGAACCCCAGAGGGAAAAACCTATTGGGAAATTGAGATTCTTAAGATGTAGTGAGGAAAGAAGGGAAGGCAAGCAAGTCATAGGTTCCTCCGTCGGTTTTTTTCCCCCCGTAGGTGAGCTTCGGTTATAGCGGGTTTGATATGGAAAGAGGTTCCGTGATTTGGCCTTTGTTTCTGTTTAGTTTTTAAAGAACGGATTTTATAGAAATCTGGATTGCAGGCCGGGGTTTTATAATGATGGAGACCAGAAGTTCACATCCAGTTTTGGATCAGAACATTGTAAGACTGGGAATACACCGAAGAAAGTCCGGATGGAGGGAGAGATGGAAAATGTGATGGGATTTAGGAAAACTGAAAATACTGTTGTTGTTGTTGTTTTTTGAGGGAGTTGATGTAGATTAGCACCTGAACAACACTCACAAGGTAAGAAGTAGTTTATACATACATACATACATACATACATACATATATATATATATATTTAAAAAGGTAGTTAGCAAGCATAACTGTACTTGAAGTATTTAGATACTCTTTGGGGTCAAAGGGGTTTACAATTTACAAAGTTGATCATGATTTGGAGTTTTTTTTTTTAATCAGTAAGAATGCTGAGATCTGTTACAAATATTGAATGCTAGAATATTGGATTAGTTATATTGCAATAGAAGATTCTATTTGTGAGAGGTTTTTTTAGTCTAGATCTGTGGCTACTATATGTAACCAGGCATTATAATCTCCACTATATGTTTAAGACTGTTATTCTGTGATAAGCATTCTTTGCAGTCCTCCTTTATTGCATCTTGGTGTCATGTGACAGCAAAAGCTATGAGGACATTCTTCTCTCTAGGTACACACAAATTGGTGTGTTTGTGCAGAAATCTACTACACTTCCATCCCATCCCCCTGAAACCATATGGTCCAGCTTCAGTCTTCTGGTCATGTGTTGTAAGTAGAGTCATCTCTGAATAGAAATTGTCCCACAGGGATCACAAAGGAAGTACTATGTTGCACCAAAACATATTTGATCTTCAATTAATTCCTAAAGCAATATATATGCAATCCACCTTTCTTCCCTGTTGCCCTAAACTACAGCAGAGGCTTTCATCCAGCTTTCATTGATATGCCAGAAAGTCTGCATTTCCCAGACATCCTCATCATCTAATAACTGCTGTATCCAATAACTGCACAGATATAGCCAATTGCTGAGCTCAGAGAAAGATAACCCAGCCTACACAAAAATGCTAGCTAATCAGTGGCTTTCTGCTTCAAACATAACACTCCCTGAATTTATTGCTTCTCCCCAGTAGTGTTCATGAGTTGAAAAAAGATAAAAGTCTAAAGACCAGTTGTAAGTTTCAAGCACCTGTCTTCCCCCACCCTTAATTTATGTGTATTTGTATGGCAGAGCAGTAAGCTGTTTTTTCACTTCATGGAAGCATATCAACATTGCTAGTGACATGTATTTTTCCTATAAAGCTTGCAGGGGTTGCATGTTTCCTAGTTTTCATGTTATACCATTTAAAGCTAATCTCTCTCTAGATTTGACTGGGAGAAATACAAGCTGTAAGACAAGTGGAATCACGGTGGGCAGTGTGTATAATAAGAAAGTAGATACTTGCAGGCATTGGAAGAATGTATGTTCTTTATACTAAAAACAGGAGGAGGAGAAACATCTCAATTTCAGAAAGTGTGAAGTAGCTAAGTCAATTTACAATATGCTAAATTGTTTTACAGCTGGAGACGTGTGATTGGTGAAAGACTGTCAGGGTATATAAATAGAAGTAGCCCTCACTGTCACCAAATTGACAGAGATTGAGGTCTGGAAGCTAAATTCTGTTCTGCTGCCTTGTCCGGTTAACACCTTTGAGGAGGCAAATTATAGATTCCAGCCAAATTGTCCTTTGTTATGCATGTTTGGGTACAGAGTGTATATTTACTGAAAGAACATCACATGAGTATGGTAGTTTAGAATATACTGCCTTTTTAATGAAATCTTTGTGTTATGAATATGAACATATGGTTTATTTGTTTTCTCACACCTGTAGGCTATTGTACCTATCCTTTAGACAAGTAGACTGATGGGAGGGAAGATATTACTTCTACCCTTGATAAGAAACATTCCCTACACATACTTTCCTTTTTTGGAATAGAGTTTTCCTTATAAATTTGGCATATTCTTAAAAATACTTGGCTTTATTTATAAAAACTTGTATGCTTCAAAAAGCCCATTAAAAAAATGGCCTTTGCTTTAGGAAGAAGGACCTCCGAGTAATTGTTTATAATTTATAGTAAAACTAGAATCCTTTGGAAGATTGCAGATTCTGTAATTAGCATACTTTTGTTTTTTGAAGTGTTCTTAAAATCAAGGTGTTATATATTTCATCATTATTTGTATTGGTTGATTAGTACAGTACTAATCAAAAGTTAACCTACCTACCAGTTAAAATTATTTAACAAGCAGATACTCTACACTTTCCTCTTTTGGTCCTTGGGAGGGAGATATTCAGTTGCACCAGGTTAGAGGACCCCCAGTTACCATTATAATTTTACTTGTGAACTTTTCCTGACAAGTCTTCACCAGTTTATGACACCAGATTTAAAGATTTAGGGTATGACCATTTCTTGTTTTCTGATTCTGCGTACAATCAACTTGTTAATAATTATTAGTAGAAGTACTAGTCATTAAGCCTGCAGAAGAGCAATCAACAGATGGTTAACTGAAAGGCAGGATTAGTAAAATGTGACCTCACTTCCAGAAAAAACTTTCTCAGATTTAGTCCCCTGGTTTTTCCTTTGAAAAACAAAAAGAGAATTGGCTGTTTCCAAGTTGTAGCTGGAAGCATGATCTGTGAGTCCACAGCCCCCCACCCCTTCCAGCAATCTTTCCACCTCTCATATTCTGATGCTCTTATTTTAATGGGATATGAATTGTTCCTTACTTTGATAGAATAGGTTTACCTCTGTTGGATGGCTATGAACACAGGCTGGTGAATGGAGATCCTCTGACCTACAATATATTCCCCCCTTCCCCAGGTTATTTGTGATTATTGGGGAAGAAATGTTTTCCTCTGGAGGGACAGCAAATCACTTTGACTACTTTGCCTAATTATACAGTGGAGGTGGGGGCAGATTGCTTTAACTCTGCTTGTTTTTTTGTCCATATTGCTTGGGATACTATAATCAGGAATGTGGAAAAGAGCAGATGGAGACAGCAGTAAACCCACAAGCATCTTCAGTCAGCCAGTAGGGACTCAAGTAATTTTTCCTCCTATCCCTTATTCTCTGTGTTGCTTCTGGGCATTTTCACAGAGGTTCCCTTGCATTCTAGAAACTGGTAGGTGATCTTTTTTGCATGTGTGTGAGTGCATATGCTTGTGTGTAGATCTTTTCAACTTTTTTCCTCTGAACTGTAGAGGTGGTAATATCTTCCTCTCAGAGGAAGAGAACAAATGTGATGAATGTTCCATGCATGGAGAAAACTTTCATTCAGAGTTGGTGGGTAGGAGAGAGGCAAGGAAGCTGAATTTTAAAGAAAGGAACAAAACTATTTTGTACAGGCTTAGATTAAAGCACTAAGTTAGTGACCACATATTAATTGTAGTTAATTAGAACCAAAGATTAATAGAATCTATTTCTTGTTGCTGCTCAAGGTAAGCAGCAAAATAAAAAGATAATTCTTATTTCATTTCTTTTCGTAGTGTTTACATTCTTGTAAAGTTTGTTCCTTCCTCATGGAAGACCTAAATAATATTTGGTCAGCTATATATGGAACCCTGGGAAATCTGTAAACTACACTAGTGAAGAAGTTTCTGAGGATGGGGCTGGACACTATGGCCCAGTGTTCTTTGCTCCATTATGAATCAGTTGATCAGTAGGAGTTAAAGATGACCAACCATCCTTGCTGTCTAGTTGTGTCTTCAAAAGAAACATAACTGCTGTCTCTGCTGTGGTATTTGTATAGTGGATTGACTGAGTTGCACCAAAATGTTTTCCAGTAGAGAATGCTGATTATAATGCAGTGTCAAATTAAGTACTTTTCTCTTGGTTCCAGGTACAGTATGTAAACATAGGGATTGTTGGTCAAGAAACCACATGAGCTTTTCTGTGCTTTCTGGCTCCCTGATCTTGTAAATTAGATGCAAATTATGGGTGCCACAAGTAATAATAATAACTACTGTATTAACAAACAATAATACAGTATTAAATCCTTTCAGGTTGGGCTATTTTTAAGCAAATGGTTTCTTGAATAGTAGCTACTATTGAGTATACATATTCTGTCTTACACCAGACAGAATTTTTTAGTCAGGGTGTAATTGAACATATAAACATTGAGCAACATATAGTAAATAAAGGATATTCTGAGGATGCAGCCTGGGCAGTTCCAGCTTTTCTATAATAAAATCTATGAAATGACTTGAAAAGATTTTCAGAGTTTATACAAATGTAAGGAGAACTTTGTAGATGGTCTTATTTTCCTGTAACTGAATCTGAATTGGGTCTTGGATATTTTGGTAACCTTTGAGAAGAGATGTTGCCCTGGACAGAGTCCCTATCCCATCTCCTTCATATTGAATTATTCTTAAGGAGTCTCTTCATTAACCTTCTCAATCTCTAATTAGTCATTTGGGACCAATCCTTAGTATTAATAGTTCTCACTATCATTGCCCTTCAAAGATTTTGAGGACCTTCCCAATTATACAGCTTACTTGGAAACAAGTGTTTTAGGTGACCTTCATGGATAAGTTTATGATGCAACTGCCTTGAATACTAATGCCCTCAAGGACATCTTTGATGAAGTACACTGTACTGCTTCCCATATCTCTGTACGTTATTA